AGCTAGGCCGGATGGTGAAAGCATTATACTTGTTTGGTGACAGGTGAGGACCTGCTAATTGCCAAGCGGCTTGAGAGGCTCTATCTATGCATTGGCGCGAGGAGTTATTGAGGCCACTTGACGTAGTGGCAGGAGTTTTAGGCCTCTCGGTGACTGTAAGACAGAAAACAGGGGAAGGGAGTGACAGGTGAGGCCCTCTCTATGCAACATGCGAGGTGGCTAGCTAACGTGTGGCCCGATGGGTGTTTGCCTCTGGAACGTTTGAGGCGGGGTGTTGGCCTCGCGGGATCACTAACTAATGGCGACTGCCAAGACGGGGTAAATACCTATTGGGAATCCTGTGACCCTATTGCCAGTACTCTAAACTAGGGGGACGAAATGAAATGTATGGTAGAATACCATATGAGCAGGTGTACGTACCTGGTAGTATGACAAATCACAGGAATAAACCGTGTGGAGCAAATATATATAAGCTTGACAGCCTAAAAATGGGTAAAAGAGAGTAGTATGATGAGTGTGGATTGTTGAAAAGAACAGACTTATAGTCTGTAGCAGCAATGTTTTGAAATTATGTTGATATCATGGGAATAGATATGAGTGGCTCAGAAATGTTTGCATGCTTAAATAAGACATCTGAGGGACAAACAACCTATGTGTTATGTGATAATGGTGTGTAAGGGAAACATGAAATGTAGGTTATATATATATATATGTATATGACTGTGCAGGAAACGTATGATTGGTTGGATCAGTACGTGTGATTCAACCCGAGTATGCATGAAAAGGAATTAAGCCTTATGTGTCATAGTCATGACAGAGAAATGAGGCCTGTAACGTAGGCTGAGTGAATTTAAATGAAATGGATAATTATAAAACTCCTAGCGTGGGAGTTCAATGATCCGAACAGAAATGTAGCTGGTTTTATAGAAAGGAACATGGATGAGGTCATGGCCTATTTTACACAGCGTTATGTATGATATGTAGCAGAATAACCAAAGGCAGGGATACCCAAAATGCTTTAAAATGATGTAAAGTGATGTATATATATATGATATATTTGTATTGAAAAGACGTATCAACCCGAGAATTATTGCTTAAATGAACCTGTATCCTTTGTATGTGTTATAGTAATAACACAGAAATGAGGCCTGTAACATAGGCTGAGTCCATTTGTATGGATGGATAAGTAATGCAGACCCCTGAAAGCGTGGGAGTCAAATGGTCTATACAGATAAGTGGACTTGATTTGTATGGACGTAATACAATACTGGCAATATTTAAAAGTAATAGAAATAATTTATCTATTTAAACAAGCAATTCTTAACCGAACGTTATATACATAAGAAATGGTGAATATAATTCATGAAAGGATTATGCGTAATACATAGAAATAAAGCCGAAAACAAATGTGAGGGAAACACAGAAGTTAGAACAGTTTAACCGTATGAATTTATACGAACCGAAAGCGTGTTTGAGCGTATATGAAAATTGCCGAACGGCAAAACAACCGAGTGATAATTTGTTTCAATGTAACATGAAATAGTTGATATGCGAAATGACTATTGAATGAGTAAACTGTTCAGCCGAATGACCGTATGAATGAAAAGGCCCGCGAACGGCTTGAAACATTCGTGTCATAACCAGGGAAAAACCGTAAAGCGAGGACCCGTGCTGAACCGGTCCTGGCGTGACAGGTAGGTCTGACTTACGGTTTAGGAGTCCCTGGGACGCGATCTACGACGAAGACCGGAGTCAGAAGAAGCTGGACGGGCGGAAAGGCCTGAACAGGATTCCTGGACACAGCTAACGTGGTGAAAACCTCGTGGAAACTGAACCCAAGATGGCGTCTGAGAGAACCCGGAAGTGGATCCTCATTCAACGCTGACCTCGAACGGTAAGGAGCCAGGTAAGGGGAGTGCCTTAAGTAGGCTAGGGGTAGCAAACCAGCACCTCCCACAAATCCAGGCAAATTGCCTTAATACATATATATATATATATATATATAACACCCTACATAGCACAATGACTTATGGGGCTGGCATAAATTTTTTTCCAGGGCTGCTTCGTATCCCCAGTCCGGCCCTGTACCAATTCATACCAGCACTGGGTGTGGTGATATTAGCATCTTTCCCTCCCCACACTTCACTAACCCACCTTGCTTCATCTCCTGCAACTGTTTCATAAAAAAACTTTATTGTAAAGTATTTAGCAACCTACATTCACCATACACGAAATGCATTTTACCCCTAATTCTTGTGTCAATCTACCCCACATAATTCCTTAGCAACTTCTGTTCCTGTATGTTCAACTATTTTGTTCATCCACCTATTGTACAGTGCTGCATAATTAGTTAGTGGTTAATAAATAATAGTAATAATATAATGAATATAAAATTGTGCTCTAACGCCCCTCCCATTGAATTCTTATTTTGGGCCTTCCGGGAACTGCTCGCTGTCTTCACTCATTCTGTCAGCAAGCTGTAATCTCTCTGCCTGAGCTGAGCCCAGTAGTGCAGGGTTTAGCTCATTGGCTGAGAGTGATCAGCTGACACTCTCAGACAATGAGCTAGCCTTGCACTGAGCTCCGGAGAACTGAAGGATTCTACTGCTTAGGAGAATCCTGCTCTTGTCAAAAGAACTAGCGGGGAATGGCACTGCTGGACCCCATGTAAGAAGTCAAACTGTTTAAATGTGTGACCCAGGACACTCCTGTAACCATAACCACTACAACGTGCAGTGTTCCTTTAACATGCCTTGGAAAATGTGGTCTATGTCTATGATTCTATACGCTATAGGGTCAGGAACACAAACATGTATAGTGTTACCCCCGATCTCCTTAGCTGACATCATCAAAAGAGAGGATTTCAGCCAACCACTGCCTGGTTTCGCTGAGACTGTCAATTTTGATGACCTCAGCAGAAGAGGAAGGCTAAGGGCGGAGCCAAACACCACCCTGTTCAATCAAAATCTTCTCATATAGATGCATTGAATCAATGCATCTTTATGAGGAAGTTTCTCTATTAGTCGTCTGAAGAGTACCATTAGTGGTGTTCCTAGGGTGTAATGTAAACACTGCCTTTTCTCTAAAAAGACAGTATTTACTGCAAAAAGCCTGCGGATACTGACTATACTCACCAGAACAAATACAGTAAGCTCTAGTTGTTCTGGTGACTATAGTGTCCCTTTAAAAAAAGTGTAGTCTAATATAGAAGACACAATTATAGTTAAGAAAAAAGTGTTGTCTATGTTTCAGAATAATCAATAAAACAACAGAGCTGCAATACAGAAGATGTGAAATGAGAACAGGGCTTGTACGTATTATTCTTTCTGTTTTATCCTATTAAAAAGCCTGCACAACAGTTTTAAATAAATGTATTGATTATGTGCCTTTTCCACAATAGGACACTAACTAAGATAGTATCCTAAGCCTGTGGTATTATTGTCTTCATTATGATGGCAGGAATAACATTTTCTATCTTTGGACTACATTTCCCATAATTCGTGGCCAGTCCAAGAAAAACATGTAGCCAAGGTTAGACAAATGTTGCTTTATTCATACATAAATAACACTAGAAATCCACCTGCTTTGCCCTAAAATTTCTAGCACTTAGCATATAAATGATTTAATAAGATAGAAGTGGCTATTGAGGTATGTGTATACAGTACCTAGAAGGCCACAGTTTATCTTTCTATGCCTCCATTTTGAGAAACAACGTGAGTGTATTATGCACAGTGCTAGCCACTGCAGAAGCCAGTATGTGTGTATGATATTAATCCTTTATATTCCGATAATCAGTTGATATCTAGTCTATAATTCCCTACTGACGGCCTAGAACAGAATATTAGTGATATGACTGGATATCATGTTTGCTAATCCTGACAAGACTGCCTACTGGCTCACATCGAGCAGACATCTTGGAACAGTTGCCATGCAATATATCCCAAATAGAATGCTGAATCCCTAACTACAATGGAATCCAACAGTGCATCATCTTCCTAACTAATTTAGGATTTATATAGATCTGCTTAGTTAAAGAACCTTTTTTTCTGTGCTAACTTAATTATTTTCATTTTCCTTTAAATCTAAAACAAATAAATATATTTTAAACCATTAAATTCCTACAACAAGTACTCAGATGAAATAGCATGCAATAAATACACTTATTACATGGCCTTCAAATAGATTGTATATTATTACAACTTTGCTATATTTCTCTCTAACCATGATTTATTTGTGACTGATTTTATATGATTTATTGTGACTGATTTTATACCAATTTAATCTCATACGTTTTATCTTATCTGTAACAGTTCTGACAGTGATAACATCAATTATCATACCAAAAATAAAATGATTCCCTACTCTATCCCATAGGAATACAAGCACTTAAATAGCTCATAGACAAGTTGTAAGTGGAATGTGTATTGCCAAGAATTTCATCTAGATTGTAAGCTTCTTTCAGCAGGGTCCACGTCAACCTATTGTTCCTGTCTAAATTTTTTATAGTTTGTCTCGATTTTTGTTAAAATTCCCTTAATAATATTATAAAATGCTGTGGAATAAGCTGGCACTTTATAAATGCCAGTAATAATAATAATAATGTCCCAAAAAAATGTATATTAGTGGAAAGCTTTATCAAGGTAAAACAAGTGCTATTAAGGGTGCAACGTACTAAACATGAAAGGACAACCTGTTTGTTTTCATGGTAATTGAATTTGATTTTGCACTTTGCCGAATTAAACCTTTTTTTTTGCCTTGATTAATTTCCTCGTCTCCGTGTTTGAGGTTACAAGCATTCGTCTAACTCTCCTTGTGTTATCATTTTTTAGTTCTTATTCTGGTATAAAGCACATACAAGATTTCTATTCACATAGATTATAAGCACCTGTGAGCAGGGCCCATGTCACGTCGTCTTTCTATTATTGTAAAGCGCAGTGGCATATGTTTGCATTATATATGTTAATAATAAAAATCCTAGTAAAGATAACATGTTTTGGGTTTTTTAGTCAACATAGAAATAATGCAGAATAAAAAAAGCAGGGCTACATAATTTTAAGATACAATTTAACACCATTAAGTGATATGACTTACCTGCCCTGTTTGTATATCTCAGGTGTGTATGTCACCTGCCGCTGGCCTCTGCTTTCAATAGACATAATCCACCCCCAGAAAAGCAGCAGGATCCCCATGTGGACATTGCTTATCGCCAGCATTATACTTTGCAGTTAATGGCCCAAAAATAGTCCTCAGCAGACGTACTAGAAGGGAATTGTGTTTCTTCTTTAAGACATTGTTGGGTCATCTCATTATTAGAAGGATGTTTACCGATACAGGGAAAAAACGCCACTCAATATTTAATCTGGATGCTGGGGAAAGCAATTTCCACTAAACCTATAATTCCCTCTACGTCAGATGGCTGGGATTTTCATGCTGTGGAGAATTCATGTCTCTTTCAAAACTGCTTTTATGCTTCATGCTTAGGGCAATATAGACAATTGTTTAAATGGAGCTTGTGATGATGGAATTATTTGCAAAAAAAATAAAATAAAATCAGCTGAACTGACCTCTCGAATTTACATGATTGACAGCCAGTTGCAATGCTCTGTCTATCATTTCATACAAAAAGGAACAGGTTACATTGATATTTTGGACACTTGAAATTGTATTTAATAAATTTATTTATTTACTGCTTTTCTTTTTCAGTTATTTTTTTCTTTTTAAAATTTTCTTCCAATTTGTTTACTAAGTTGTGGCGGAACCAACCTCACCACTGGCCACTGGAGGAGCCTGGTCGCCCGCCTCCTGCTGCTGGACTATGGCCCCATGTTTAACACTGTTCTTTTTCCCTGCAGAAAGGCTGGTTTGTGCCTTTCTGCGGACTGTTAAAGTCACGAACACCGCTGAGCCGCCGACCTCCCTTCTCCTACCTGCAGTCAATTATCCGAACAACGGTCCATTCGGTACTTTACTGTTTAAACCATGCTACTCCAGATAGCTATGCCATGGAGCCCAGCTGTATACTGAAAGACTGTATGAAAGACTTTGGCTCCATGGCGATTGAACTGTATGTATGTGATCTGAGCGCCATCCGGTAATAATGTGCGCTCAGATCTAAGCTATCTGGGGACAGGTAGAATGTGTATGTTCTATGTGATAAATGTAACAGTATGTAATTTTATGTCTTTTATTGTCCTTTGTCTGCCATGTGGTTAATGGAGTTTTGCCTCTGTCCTTGGAGATAATTGGATTACTTCCCAATTATCTCCAGGACAGAGAGGAAGGATTGTGATGCATTGTGGGATTGTAAGCTTGTGATTGGTCAATGTCCAATATGTTTCCCAGTCTTCCATCTGGTCCCCTAGGGGAGTGTCCACCAGGTGGGAAACCTGCATAAAAGCCAGGCAGGTAGCCCCAGTGAATCAGTTCTGCTTGACCCTCAAAACGAAGTGTCGTCTCGTTCTTGGGGGGGAATTGGATTGTATGCTGTTACAATGCGACTGCCAGGAGTGTAAACTGTTCGTATGGTTTTTCCTGTTCGGCTGTTTACATCATTCGTGTGTTTGGAGCATTCGCCTGGTTCCAGTTCGGGAGATTGGTGAATTCATGTGTTTGCAGTTCGGAAGATTGGTGATTGCAGTAGCTGTCTGTGCATCTGAAAAGGGGAATATCGCCTAAACAGTTTTGTGTGCAAAACGGTCCGTTACATAAGTAAATGTGTCCGAAACACCGAAGCAGCCTGAAGATACATTTAAGGCAATTACCCTGCTACTGTTGATGATTTAAAAATGTGATTGTATGTATAATGTATGGTACAGACTGATAACTGATCATTTTGGTTGTTAAAATAGTCCACAGTATGATGTAAATATGGGAAATTTAGGGGGCTTGGCTGAGCTGCCAATGAATATGGATGTCCGGACTTGAGCTCCTACACTTGAGCTCCTCCACCATTGGGGAAACTGTTTTCCCCAAGATGGGAAAAACTCAAAAGCCTACAGGCTCCCTGAAGGGTTTATACCCGAAGAAGGGGCAACATACTCCCTCTGTGCATGTATAACTCACTGCCATGCTGGATTTCTTGATGCAAGTATCGCAGGATGGGGCAATCGGGAAAGTGCAGGCCTCTCCCTTGAGTTCATTGGTTTTTGGCTGAGACCACGTTTCCCTACCTGACAATCCATGCCTTGTTGACCAGAACGGACATCCAAGAGCCAACACTGCCTTACAGGCCTCCACCCGCACAGACCTGCCACGTGAGAACCTCCATGACCTCGTGGATCGTGTGGGCTACTTGGAGGCAGAGACAATCTCCTTGCAGTACAGATGCCTGTGGGAGTTGCCTAAAATGGATGAGTCTCCACTACACTTCCTCAATGTACTTACAGAAGTTTTTAGCCTCCTCCACAAATACCCGTCAATCCGCATTGATTTTGTCGTAGCTCATCGGGCTCTGAGGCCTAAAAGACCACTGAAAAATCCCCCATGAGATGTGGAGGTTATATTGAATGCAGCCCATGAGGCTTCTGAGTTGTGTGATGGAAGGCACCTTGACTGTTATTGAGTACCATACGATAAACCACAGGTTTAAGCATAAAATCTTGACTTTCTGACATTCTGTGGTTTCTGAGGAGACGATTGCAGCTTCACCCTCAGCCCCCCTTCTTATGTCCTAAGTTTTTTTTTTTATATATATATATAACCATTGAAATATGCTTAGTTCTGTAAATTCCTTTTATGGTACACAGTGACTTCAAGCATCCTGTTTTTATCGCGCATGTCATAAAGCTGTTTTACCAAGTACTATATAGTCTGAAAGCAAACCAATAAAAGAGGAAGTAATCTTTTATTCACAAGTCTCTGGTGTTTCTGATTTAATTGCTTCATCGAGCGAGCTTAAATAAAATTACAATTTGGTTTCCACCTGAACATATCTCTGGGTAACTTTATATCCATATGAGTTGTGTTATCACCAACACTACCTACAACTCTTTCCGGACCTCTCGCCCACCACACTGGGCTATCGCTGCACTCTCAAACCACTTACTAGGAAACTCACAGCACCGAAGATCAGGTACTATTGGTAAATCCCTACATACCTGGCAAAGCAATGTCCTCTTTTTAATATGAGATGGCAAAGCCATCTGGGGCAGGCCCTAGAAGCTTTGCCTCAGTGACCTAGGAAAGGTAAGCAAGCTACAATCAAACCAGCAGGTTCTGCACCTTGATTAGGAACAGATAGTTTTAGTTTTTTTTTATTAACTTTTTTACCTTACTTTTCTACCTTTTTTTCGCATGATTATTGTTTCGCTACTCTAGAAGCGATATTTGGCCTTGCTAAACTCCAGTGACAGTTCTAGCCACTTTCATAGTGTATCCCCGGTAGTGTAGTCCTATAGAGTGGACATCTATATTCTGGTATTATTAGACTCTGCATGGGGAGACCTGACCCCATCTCAAAGTGAGATGCAGGGGCTTCCTTGATGCCTTGATCATAACATCTCGCTTACCATCTTGGATAGGAACTGTTCATTTTTGTTTTCCCATGGAGGGTCCCTCCAGCACTAGTTTATTTGACCACTGGACTACACTGCTCTACCTTGCCCCAAGAGAAGGAAGAAAAGTTCCTGCCAGATCAGGACAAAGGCCCCTTCTAATGGCCTAGGAACAGTTTTTTTCAGTCCTCACATTTCCTTATGAGCAGGACCTATCTGCAACCATCCACTGCAGGCCACCTGGTCCCCACCACCTCCAGACCAGTGGCAAACATTTTTTGAACCTCCTTTAAGAACAGCTGATAGTCACTGGACTGCTGCAGTGACTCCCTCTGCTTGGGCTCTGCTGGGGTGAACTTTCATATTCTCACAGGGGTAACTCCAATGGCCTACGCCATCCTTGTAACAAAATGTGCTCTCCCATATATCCTTTGAGCACGCTACTCTGGAGGGGAAAATGTATTTCAATGTTTCTGCTTATATTGTTAAATTAGGTAGCGGGGGGCAGGGAGTTTTTAGTGAATTGACTAACATACATTTTTGCTTCACAATTTCTTGCAGAAGTAATTTAGTATCTGTAGCTTGTATTACAAATAGTTATCTGCTTTATATACTAGCCTGCACCTACAACTTTTTGCTACTGACCAGTAAACAGTTTTCTGCTGCGCTCACCATGTCCCCCCCAGGATGTTTGGTGTCTTTTACTTGGGAGAGTTGGTTTGCATGCTCAGCTGGTCTGTTGCCTTGCCCAGTCTCTCCCCTGACACACCACCCTGTGGTTATCTGGTAGATGACTTGTATATACAGTACTTTGATGTTGTTCGCCTCCCCTTGTTTTCCCCCCTCTCTCTCCTCACTGCCTCTCTACCTTATAGCCCAGTGGAGAGATACACACCACAAGTGCTTGCCTGGCTGCAGCAGCCACTTGACTGACTTGATTGCATGGATTTTTTCATATCTTCCTACCTTGAGAGGAATTACTGGGATAAAGGGCTTCGCAGCTGCACCCATGTGCACCCATGCACTTTTATATTGTAAATGCAAAGGGTCATAATACCTCAGAGAAACGATCCCATGCACTGGGGGACTTTCAGGAACAGAGAGCTCAGGTTGTCAATGTCCAGGTTTCACACTTTGGAGAACTCCAAACGTCTAGCATCAAGAACCATATGTACACCCAGGGCTTATTTAGTAAGCTCTAAATGTCAAATCAAAGAGTGTGGTAAATCTTATACACAAAAACCTGCATTTACACCTTTTCCATCCTGGTGGATGGAAAATATGTGTTTGGCAAAGGGTATGTGTCTGTCTCATTGCAGGTTAATATATTGGAAAATGTAACCTTCCAACATGTAGCAGGGAAACTACTTATGCATCATGCTGCAATAACAGTGGGTTGCCTAATTCTGGGGGTTGACTTTAATGTGGCACTCGATCAAAACTAGACTCATCAATGGAAAAGACCTCTATTTCCCCTCACATACTCCAAATTATGAAGAGTGAGCTACACAAGTCCCCAATGCGATTTATTCCCGACCTGACTACATTTTCTTATCCCATTACAATTTACCTCTGATCCACCAGACCCAGGTAGGTTTGATGACTTGGTCCGATCATGCACCCACCTCCATGACTTTGATGGCCCCTTTTTTCAGCCATGTACCATTCACTGGAAGTTCAATGACTACCTACTCTCCTACTCCTTGCTGGTACAGGAAAGTACGCTCAGAAACTACTTTACGGATAATGACAAAAGGGAGGTCTCCCCAGCAACAGTTTGGGAAGTGCACACAAGTGTCTTAAAGGTTTTTTTATTTTTATTTCCAAGGGAGCTGCTATCAAGAAGGCTCGCCTGGCACACTTAATGTAC